GGGGTGGTGAGAGGCTTTTGCCTACACCTGAATCTATCTGTATATAATTGTATATATTTTCTTGTATCATTCATTAGTGTTTTAATTAAAGCTGTGTAGTTTAGTTTTCAATCCAGCTAAGTCTCTCTCTTTTTCTCTCTCTCCTTCCCTACCTGGGTTGGGGGGAGGGGGGATCGAGAGCATTGTTGTCAGACCTGAGTCAAACCGTGACACAGGCATTCCCCACTCCCCAATGGGTCAGGCTATTACTGAACGTACACACAGCATCTTGAAGGCTATGTTGTTAAAACAAAAAAGAGGGAATCTCCTTTCACCACAGGAGCATTTAGATAAAGCCACTTATGTACTTAATTTTTTTAATTGTTCTGGCACATGTCTGCTGACATCTGTGGCCGAGCGTCAGTTTGGGCACACTCCAAATTTTGCTGCTAGGCCCAAAGTCTGGTATCGTGAACCAGGGGCTCCTGAATTGAATGGTCCAGTAGAGCAAATAACTTGGGGGAGAGGGTATGCATGTATTCTTCTTCCCTCAGGTCCTTCTTGGTTGACAGTAAAGAATGTGAAACCCTACCATGAGCTGGAGCAACAAATTCCAGAACCCAGTCCTCGAGATGAATCCCCTGCAGATCAGGATGAGACCTCCTTACCAGAGACCTAAGCCACACGAAGGAGCAAGCAATGTAACATGGGGGATCATCTGTATTTGTTTTTATTAGCTGAAGACTGGACTGTAGTGAATTGTAACTGCTCCTTTTTGTATTAATGTGTAAAACTCCATATATGCTAGCTAGTTTTGCCTATGAGAATATGCCTTTATTGAATATATCTTTTATAATTCCTTTTTGGTTAATCTCTTTATAATATCAGCAGTTATTATATTGGTCAATGTATTGGTTGCTTTTGATGTTTTAGTAGAATCTGTTGTACAGGTTCAGGTTAGTGTTTATGGTCTGAGGCTGAAACAGATAAAGGGGCATTACGGACCCCAGACCAAATTGGTTGCACATGCACGTTTGCCCTCTTTTTATGCAACCTAGGCAGGATGACTTGCAACACGTTGGCCCCATGTGTCAGAACCTCATCCCCCTTATAAAGG